AGCGTGCTGCCATCTGTGAGCCACTTAAGTCGACTCGTTCTCCCATAATTGCAAAATATATAATCACCTGCAGAATTAAGCCAAACCAAGACTTTTCAGCTAAAGTTCTTCCAGCCAGGATTAATATTCATGTTGTCACTACAATACATATCAACATACACTCAGCCCAGCCATAGACTAAATACAATATTCTATAGTAAAGTACATTGTCTAACATACGGAGCTACAGACATCATAAGCTAAACTATTATGATATTGTAAAGCCATTTGCAAGTCAATGCACCCACTAAAGCTTGCATTATAGTAAAAAAAAGGATATGAGCCAGTGAATGTCCACTGTTTTACCTGCTGGCAAAACAGCCCAAGCTGTTGGGTGTCATCCACCACCAGCAACTCCAGTCTTTCTCAGCTGGTATCACGTGACATTGGTCAGAATAAAAATTCAATTACCCTGTTTGTCAAATGTCTAGAATTCCTTTAGAGAATGCTCAATTCAGTCTCAAACTTCAAAGAGAGCATGTCACTGAGACAATGAACCTTAGCTGCCTGTACCTTCTGTGCACTAATACTGATCCTCTGGGATATAACTCGATCATCTGTTCTGAGAGCACCATAATCCAGCAGTTCTCCTTTTCAAGTCTGTGGCTCCAACGAGATTGAAGCCTTGAACCTTTGTAGCATATGGACTTCTCTGAGGTCTGAAAATTCTATCTGACTATTATCTACCCACAACAATACAGTAATAGACTCTTTCTCCTGGTTATAAATCCTTCTACTTGTGGAAAATGCCATTATCTCATTTAAATATATTTAAGCTTAAAACACAAAGGATCAGAAGAGCACGGGAAAATGTATTTATCATGAAAAACAGAGTACTCCTGCAAAAAATACATCTTGTAGTCATGACACCAAATTTTCTCTATCTTACCTGCTCTGTGGTATCATAGAAATCCCTTAGAGTGAATGAGTAGGATCCAGAATACGGTTAAATTTTCTATGTTTCAATTTGTTTTTATTTCAGATCCCTAACTGATAGAAGAAGAAGGCGACATTAGAAGAAAAGATAAACTTGCTTGGCCACCTCGTTCCCCTGACCTGTCCTCATTGGACTTCTTTTTATGGGGCATGTAAAAACTACTATTTATTTATCAAAACCCCGTTATTTCAAATAACGTAAAGCTCGAATCACAAATGCAATTCATGACATCATCTCTCAGTAACTGGAGAATGTTTTCAGAGAATTAGAAAATCGGATTGAAAAATTTATCACAGTGGATAGCGGTTATGTTTAAATACACAAAACTGAACTGTATTGTATTTTAAAACATCACGAATTGTGCTTTCATGCATCATTTATAGTTTGTTTCTATCATGTGTGAATGGGAGTTATAAAAGTTCAAATTTGCACAAAGAATTTATGAACACCCTTTAATTATAATTACAAATTTACTTTAACAACTTCATATGTACATTTATGTTTGTAAGTTGCATATTTACTATTTGATTTGTGTGTGTAGCATATACAATTATTGCCACTTTTTGTCAACGTGCTTATTTTAATGGTTTAACAACAACAAGCCTAATTAATTAAGTGAAATGTGTAGCTTGCAGTACTCGATACGTAGATTCGTGGGCTCAATTCATACCCATTCTCGGCTTTTACTTCTTTTGATTTAAGTTCCATCTTCATAAGAAAAAAGTGCAACTCTTTAAAATTCCTTTTGTCAAATCGAAATTGATACAAACTAACGTTACCAGCACTTATTCTACAACTCTAATGTATTTTATCGTACAAAATGCAATCACTTTAACATTCATTTGAAATATATAAACGAATAATAACAGATTTCTCATTACAGGTTTCGTTTAACTTGCGTAAGGTAAACTGCTAGAATCACAATACAGGCCCTGACACATGAAAAGGTATAGCATATCACCTTATATCAAATAACTTCTGATGGTCGCAAACAATTTTAAACAAAGATACCCCGTTTCCAAAATGTGTCACACCTGATCTATATAGATTCTGTTTACTGAACCAATAATCGAACCAACAATTCAATCCATGCTGTTCAAGTTAACAAAGACATGCAGTCACTTTGTAATGGTGTTCTTGAGTAGAGCAATCATGCAATCATCTTGGTAATGTGTTATAGAGGGGAAGTGCAATCATCCAATCATCTTAATAATGGTGTTCTTGGAAAGTGCAATCACCCAATCATCTTGGTAATGGTGTTCTTAGGAAGTGCAATCATCCAATCATTTTGATAATGGTGTTATAGGGAAGTGCAATCAACCAATCATCTTGGTAATGGTGTTCTTGGAAAGTGCATTCAACCAATCATCTTGGTAATGGTGTTCTTGGAAAGTGCAATCAACCAATCATCTTGGTAATGGTATTCTTGGAAAGTGCAATCATCCAATCATCTTAGTAATGGTGTTCTTGGGAGATGCAATCAACCAATCATCTTGGTAATGGTGTTCTTGGACAGTGCAGTCATCTTGGTAATGGTGTTCTTGGGACGTGCAATCAACCAATCATCTTGATAATGGTGTTCTTGGAAAGTGCAATCATCCAATTATCTTAGTAATGGTGTTCTTGGGCGTGCAATCAACCAATCATCTTGGTAATGGTGTTCTTGGGACGTGCAATCAACCAATTATCTTGTGGACATTGTTAATCGGGAAAACTAATTTTCGCTCGAGAGAGTCATAGTACAAACTTTTATTTGAATTCATTGTTTCCTAGACTCTGGAGCTGATAAGACTACTGAGGTGAGACCCGAGCCCAAAGCAGTATGCTTATTTCTATAACATTAAACTCTTGTGTGAAAACGTTTTAGATATTCTAGTAACACTACGCACAAGAAGGAAAATATATTCAAGTGACCTTGAGATAACACAGATCTTGTGCCATGTACATGTAGATGTTCATGGCAGTGAGAGGATTTTTGATAAAAACACCTGTTTTACCCCGAATCACTTTGTATGTAAATAAGCGGAGATTACGGCTCCAGTTCTGATATAGACACCTGTTTTCTATGTGTATCAGTGAAGATTACGGTTGGTATAATATATGTTTTTAAACAGATCATCTTGACCACTAAAAGTATACAATCAGCTTGATAATAGAACTTGGAAACTAAGTGGAACGTGTTTGAAAATATCCATATCTGACAAAATATTATAGAATACTTATATTGTTTTGTTTTTTTTCAAACCAACGTAAAAAAAAAAAAACGAGATTACTGCAAAAGTCTCATCAGAAGAAAACCTCCACAAAACTTTGAAAACATATTAAATAACTTAATGAACACACGTTACTTTGAAGGCGATTTGTAAAACATATATATATGTATAACTTAACAACGTGGAAGCTAGTTTTATATTACAAAATCTTCTAATTTTCCATTGCCCTCCAACGGCACAACGGTAAGTCTGAAGACTTATAACGTCAAAAAATGGGTTTCGATATCTGTGGTGGGCACAGCACAGATAGTTCATTGTGTGCCTTTGCGCTTAACTACAAACAAACATTCTCATTGTAATGTGTCATCTACAACATGGAAGAGTCTACGAGAGTATATTAGCTTAAGTTTATAACAATTCAAAGTAACTACGCATTTTCACTGTGATGAATGATACCTAAAACTAAAAATTTTATTAAAAATACAAACACGTGGGGCGGACGCATAAATAAACAATGACAAAATGTATAAAAGCACCGATTCCCACAGATAAACAGTTTTAAATACAGAGAAGAGGGGTAGGCAAGTAGATGAATAGAAAGAGAACTTAGATAGAGAGGCAAAGACTGAGATAGTATCTTTAATACGTATGATATATAAAATGAAGGACGCTTGGCGGCCTAACACCTGTCATATTTTATTTTTCAACTTTTGAACACCTGTATACTAAATAGTCCATACAGGTTGTTTGTAAGTGTAGGCAGAACACTGACGTCAGTATTGCATGGTATCATCTTTGTACATATAACAGACCACGTGGGACGATCATGTGCCTTCTCGGATCTATATAGATTACACTGCAGTATATACGATATGTGACAGTCAAGTCAATATATAACAATACTTCCCATATATATATAACACTGGATTGAGTCTCACTTTCATTACAAGTGTGCATAGCAAGGTGTGAACAATCAGTCGTAAGCCTAGGTATTATGAGGCAAGATATGAACAGTCGGTCTTTAGGCTAGGTGTTGTAGAAGAGATCACATATAATCAGTCGTAAGTATATATATTGTGAGGAAAGGTATGAACAGTCAGTCGTAAGCCTGGGTATTGTGTTGCAAGGTATGAACAGTCAGTCGTAAGCCTGGGTATTGTGAAGCAAGGTATGGACAGTCAGTCGTAAGCCTGGGTATTGTGAGGCAAGGTATGAACAGTCAGTCGTATGCCTATGTTTCTGAAACAGGTCATCAAAAGTAACTCGTAAAACCGATTTATTTTTATCATGTTTAATATTATCCCGCTCTAGTTTCCATCAATAGTTAGACTCAAAGGTACGATCTGCAATATCTGATAATAAAAAACTATAAGTATAGCTTCTTCGCTCGTATACTGCATTTTTTAGTTCTATATTTTACAATTCTGATCAAATCTGTCCCAATAACACCACAAGAAAATAATACTAAAACAAACTGATCTAGTTTTAAAAAATAACTATTTTTCAAAATCAGCATCGTTTGTATCCTAGAATTACGAACAATTTTCTTCATCCATTGATTATACGAAAACAAATATGGATGGAATTTCAAAAGATTCCAACAATTTGTTAAGTAGGTGATAACTGAACTTCTTTAAAATTGTTATAAACATGAACACTCGATTTCACAGTCACATGAACATAATTTTAATGATTCCCTTGACTGTTTGCTGAAATTTAAAAATACATCAGTTTGTTTTAATTTACGAATTCGACTGATCACTGAAAAAAAAAAAAAAAACTGGCACGAAATTTTATTTTATTTTCCTTACCTAGTTTTATCCGAAGACAAGTTGGGTCCGACTAGTGTCAAAACTTACACTGTAGTTTCAAATATGAAATTAAAGGTAAATAATGCGAAATAACCCAGTCAACGTAGGAAGAGAGTATAAATAGGAAATTCAGCAACTGTCATTTCGATAAGGCTACCTCATCCCAACGGTACATTACAAGCTGATCTTCAAGTACGTCAATATGGTTGCTATACCCCAGCTGACTGCGGGACATCGCTCAATGGCATCTCTGACGTCAGTATTCTGACACAAGCGTCATCACAGGGAAGTTCCAATGTAATGGAAAGGTTGAGAAGAGCCAAGTAAGCAGGTGCGCTATAAATACTCTAGCAGCCTTTGAGCTGTGTTGTTACGTAACAGTTTGCACCATAGTTCTTATAGCTGACGAGAGCAAGCAATTTTTGTAGCTTAAGGTCTTTTTATTAATCTTCTTGCTTAAAACAGTAATCTTTGTTTAAATCCCAGCAGGAATTTTAAATATTGGGTTTATATAATTTTATTAACTAATCTCTTCCCGTTGAAACTGTCTTGTGGATGCAGTTTTTATGTCGTTGTTTTTGTTTTTTTTAACAGCAGTGTTAATCTTAAAGGTAGGGCTTATGATCCAATAGCTACTACTATTGTCTTCTTCTCATTTGGAATTTTGTGTATGGTATTTATGTATATCATTAACTATTTCTCACTCCCCCCGATGGAACAGCGGTAAGTTTACGGATTTACAACGCTAAAATCAAGCGTTCGATTCCTCACAATAGGCACAGCAGATAGGTCAGTGTGGCTTTGCTCTACAATAAAAAACTATTTTTTATACTCTATCGTGTTTATTTTTTAAAACTTTCAGATGAAATACAACATAAATGTTGAAAGCTAGCCAGGAATCAAGCCAACTATTGACGTCACATTGAAGGCCGCTTGTTTTGAATTTGTTATAATCGTTATAACTCGCATCTCATCAATGAAAAGTTACTCTAAGATGTAAATAAATTTAACGAAAGTTAAAGCTATTATGCAATTTCTGACTCTCACATGTGCTCTGGGTCTTCTTTAGATATATACACTTTATTAGGTGCCTTTCTTAGATGTCTGTTTTACTACTAGTCGTTCTTGGATGTTTACACTTTGCTAAACGTCCTCCTTATATTTCTGTACGTTACCAAATGTTCTTCCTGAATTTTAACTTTTCACTTGACGCCATCCTTGAATTATTTTACCAGACGCCCTTCTTGTATGTAAACACTTTGCTAGACGTCCACTTTAGATATCTGTACCTTACCAAATGTCCTTTTTGTATATCTACGCTTTACCAGACGTCCTTCTTGGATGTCTACACTTTACTAGATGCCCCTTTTGAATTTCTAAACTTTAATAGATGTCCTTCTTGGATGTCTACACTTTGATAGATGTCCTCCTTAGATATCTACACTTTATAAATATTCCTTTGAATATCTACAAGACGACCTCTTTGGATATCTTCACTTTGCTAGACATCCTTCTTGAAGATTTTCATTTAGCTAAACGTTCTCCTTAAATGTCTGCAATTGACTAAACGCCCACCTCAGATGTCTACACATTAATAGACGCCTATCTTCGATATATACACTTTACTAAACGTCTCCTTTTGATGCTAAACTCTACTGGACTTCTTTCTTAGATATCTACATTTTGGTAGACGTCCTTCCTTGATATCAACACTGTGCTAGACATAATTTTATATATATCTACACATTACTAGACATCTTTCTTTTCACTATACTCTTTCAGAACGTTTTTCTTATCTTATATTTTTAAGTATACTTTATAAGCTAACTATGAATTACCTCAGATTTTGACACATCTAACACTATAACCAATTGGTAAGTACTATTCCAGTAGCTGTCTTATGTAGTTAAAATATTTTAAGGATTTATAAGTGCTGAGGTGTATTTCTTCAGTTGCGTAACAAACAATCTATGTTACTCATCGCTGGTCAAATAATATATTTCCAATTTAATTTGAATGCGTACGTATAAATATATAACATTAAAATTTTATGTAATGCATACTTAACTTCTGTATATTAACTATCAAAAGGCTTAGCTCTGAAAGTTAGGCCACACCACACGGTTTAAAAAAAATACTGTAATTTAGAGAGTATTTAAATAACAATTTCGATGCTGAGAAAGCGCAATTATACTTTATTCATAAATAATTGGTGCATATTTACAGGCTTTTTTTCACCACGTTATGAGTTAGATGAGTGTCATGTATTATGAATTCTTGATAAACGGGAAAATAAATTACGGTGCTACACAAAGTAAGAAAAAACATGAGGATACGATACAAAACTGCTGGGAAGATAATTAGGCTTACAGTAAATTTATAAAATGGCTTTGGGAAATTACGATTTATATACAAACGTTATATTTTACAGTGGCTGCAATAAAATCTTAATTTTGATATATAAACTATGATAAGATTACTTAATCTTTTATTCTGAAATCAAGAAATGTTTGCATATTACTGAATGGTTTTCATGGAAGAAAATAATAATTAAAATATTTTATTACATTTGCTTTCTAACTGTGAGCATTAGGGTAAAACAAAAGATAAGCGCACCTACCGTCTAGTTTATATAAATCTTATATATATAAATGGATTGTTAACTCCAGATTCTTCAGTCCAAACCGCTTTTAAGATTCATGAGTCGCTAAAAAAACGTTTTAGAAAACAGTAGAAACTTATAAGCACTCTGACATGCTTGTGCTCAAAAACTTCTTTTAACACCTGAATATCTGAAGTGTCTAATAACCCTCAAGTGTTTCCACGGGCCAGAACTAGTAGTTTTAAACCGTCTGCATACCACAGATAGTCAATCATCAGACTTACACCGCTTTATCGATTGTTCTTTCGTTCAGTGTCATTGCTATGGCAACCACTGTCGCGTGAAATACTACAATGAGGGTGAAGACAACTAAAACGCTATTGACAAGGGACATACATGAAAATATGACTAATAATATATTAGGATGTACTTACAAACCCAGAGAGATATATCTCATTGCTAGTAAGAAACAACATCTGCAAGCTAAAAAAACTTCACTGTAATATAAAAGAGGAATCAATTAAACAATAACTTTAATTTCTATAGTACACACTTAGGTTTCAACGAAACTATCAAGAAAGAATTATATCATCTCCAGATTATTAGCATGAGATCAGTACTAAACTAAAACTTCAAATGTATTTGACCAGGAGTATGTCCACTGGGGTGGAGTGGGGAACGGCCACTTCTATCCGAGATATCAGGATTTAGTCTTTTTAAGACGTTGAAATTATTCCTACATTGTGACTCGCAGTGACATGAAAGTGTTCATTATTTTGGACAACACTGTTACGTTTCTGGTCGTTAGTTAATTTTCCGTAAAAATTCTTTCCAAAGAAACTTTAGCGATAGAAGTCCTTTTTAAATAAAACTGGTTTATTCTTTCTGAATACAACTTTGCAATACACTTAATTTCCCCAGTCACGCTATAACAAACGCTATAATTCACAACGAACGTCTCACGTGCTCGACTCAACTGTCCGTATCTATCTCTGTCTGCAGTACAATTACACATTACATTATATTGTTGCCGTCACTTCTTACCGGTCTTATACATACAAGAATACCGCATATCTAGTAACCTCTGGAGACTTCAGGAAGGGACGTGAACGTTCGAGAATATGACGTGTTACTAACATCACGTGACCCCCGCTGTCCTAACAATACTCCTAGATACGGCTTACAAGTATGACTATTGAGTCTGATTAAGGGTAGTTTGAAACAGCATTAGGTCGTCGGCAAGCTATGCAAAGACAACCTGGGTAATTTCGGGTATTTTGA